ATTTGAATTGGTGTTTCTATGGCAGATGAGTGCTGGGAAGTCCAACAAATGCTTTTTTGCTCTGTGTGTGTGTGTGTATGTGTGTGTGTGTGTGTGTGTGTGTGTGTGTGTGTGTGTGTGTATCTAAATAGTAATGGAGTACAAATGCTTTTGTTATATGGATAGCTTTCATAATGCTTAAGTCAGGGCTTAAGTGTGCCCGTCACCTGAATAGTGTTCATTATACCTGTTAGGAGGTTTTTATCCCTCCCCTCCACTGTCTCCCTCCTTGATTTTCAGTGACTTTTACTTTGCCCATGTATGCCCATCTGTTAGGTCCAAATTATTAGGGAGTACATGTGTTGTTTATTTTTCCTTTCTTGAGATATTTCACTTAGGATAATGGTCTCCAGATCCATAAAAATTGCTATAGAAGATACTAATTCATTTCTTTTTATGGCTGAGTGGTACTCCATGGTGTGTGTGTGTGTAAATATATATATATATATATATATATATATATACACACACACATACATACACACACACACATATATATACACATATACATATATGTATATATAAACCACATTTTGTTAATCCACTCATGGATTGATGGGCACTTGGGTTGATTCCACATCTTTTTGATTGTGAACTGTGCTATGATAAACACTCCAGTGCAGCAGTCTTTGATAAAATGACTTCTTTTCCTTTGGGTAGCTACCCACTAGTGGGATTTCTGGATCAAATGGTAGGTCTGCTTTTAGTTCTTTGAGAAGTCTCCATACCGTTTTCCATAGAAGTGTACTAATTTGCAGTTCCACCAACAGTGTACAAGCATTCGTTTCTCTCTGCATCTATAGTTTTTTTTACTTTTTAATAAGGGCCATTCTGACAGGGTAAGGTAGTATCTCATTGTGGTTTTAATTTACATTTCCCTGATGATTAGTGATGTTGAGCATTTTCTCATATGTTTTTCGGCCATTTGTCTATCTTTTGGGGGGAAGCTTCTGTTCATGTCTTTTGACCACTTTTAATGAGGTTATTTGTTTTTTTCTTGCTGATTTGTTTGAGTTCTTTGTATATTCTTGATATTAGCACTTTATCAAAGGTACAGCTTACAAATACTTTCTCCCATTCTGTAGGTTGTCTGTTTTTCTGTTGATTACTTCCTTTGCTGTACAGAAGCTTTTTAATTTAATATTTTTGTTGGTGCTATAATTGCCTTTGGAGTCTTAGTCATAAATTCTTCACCTACGCCAATATCTAGAAGAGGTTTTCCTACATTTTCTTCTAGAATTTTTATGGTTTCATGCCTTACATTTAAGTCTTTTATCCATGTGAACTAATTCTTGTAAGTAGTGAGAGATAGGTTTCCTGTTTCATTCTTCTGCATGTGGCTCTCTGATTTTCCCAGGACCTTTTATTGAATATGGCTTCTTTTCCACAGCGTATGTTCTTGTCTGCCTTGTCAAAGATCAGTTGGTTGTAGGTAGATGGTTTTATGTCTGGGTTCTCTGTTTTGTTCCATTGGTCTAGGTCTTTGTTTTTGTACCAGTATCATGCTACTTTGGTTACTGATAGTACAGTTTAAAGTCTGATAAAGATGCCTCCAGATTTGTTCTTAAGATTGCTTTGGTTATTCAGGCTCTTTTCTGCTTCCAAACAAAGTGTAGAATTATTTTTTCTAGATCTGTGAAATATAATGTTGGTATTTTGATGGAGATTGTGTCGTATCTATAAATCACTTTTGGTAATATGGATATTTAACAATGTTGATTCTACCAATCTATAAGCATGATCTGTTCTTCCATTTCTTTGTGTCATCTGTGATTTCTATCTTCAGCATTTCATAGTTCTCCTTGGGGAGATCTTTCATGTTTTTGGTTAAGTATATTCCTAAGTATTTTATTTTCTTTTAGCCATTGTGAATGGTATTAAGTCTTTGCTTTGACTCTCAGTTTAACCATTATTGGTATATAGAAATGATACTGATTTTTGTACATTGATTTTGTAAACTGAGACTTTGCTACATTTATTTATCAATTCCAGGAGTCTCTTGGTGGAGCCTTTGGGATTATATAGGTACAAGATCTTATCATCAGGGAAAAGCAATACTTTGACCTGCTCTTTTCCAATTTTGATACCTTTTATTTCTTTCTCTTGTCTGATTGCCCTCTCTGGGACTTCCACCACTATGTTGAATAGAAGTGGTGACAGTGATTGCCCTTACCTTGTTACAGTTCTTACAAAGAATGCTTTCAACCTTTCCCTGTTTAGTATGATGTTGGTTGTGGGTCTATCATATATGGCTTTCATAATTTTCAGATATGTTCCTTCTGTGCCAAGTGTGTTGAGGGTTTTGATCATGAAACCACGTTGGATTTTGTCAAATGCATCTGCTAAGATGATCTTATGATCTTTATTTTTGCTTCTATTTACATGGTGAATCACATTTATTGATTTATGCATGTTGAACCATCCTTTCATCCCTGGGATGAAGCCCACTTGGTCATGATGAATTATTTATTTATGTATTTATTTATTTATTTATTTTGATGTGCTGTTGAGTTCAGTTTGCTAGAATTTTGTTGAGGATTTTTGCATCTATATTCATAATGGCCATTGTTCTATGGTTTGTTTGTTGTTGTTGTTTATTGTGTCCTTTCCTGGCTTTGGTAGCAAGGTGATATTGGCTTCATAGAATGAGTTAGGGAGGATTCCCTCCTTCTTGATGCTATGGAATAATTTCTGTAGTATAGGTACCAGCACTTCTTTGTAGGTATTGTAGAATTCTGCTGTGAATCATCTGGTTGAGGCTTTTTATGTTTTGTTGGGAGATTTTTTATTACTGCTTCAATCTCACTGCTCATTATTGGTCTATTCAGGAGTTCTATTTCTTCCTAACTGAATCTTTGGAGGGTGTGTGTTTCCAGGAATTTGTACATTTACTCTATGTTATGTCTAGTTTATGTGCATAGATATTTTCATAGTATTCATGGATGATATTTTGTATTTCTGTGATATCAGTTGTAATATCTCCTTTTTCATTTCAGATTGAGTTTATTTGGGTCCTTTCTCTTCTATTCCTGGTTAATGCAGAAAGAGGTCTATCAATTTTGTTTATCTTTTCAAAGAACCAACTTTTTCTTTCATTGAAAGCATGGCTTTCTTGTGGGGGGGGAAGGGTGCTCCACCAGTGCACTGCAGCTCAGACCCACACTGCATGCTCCTGTCAGTTCTCCCCATGTACACTCCCTTGACTCCCAAGCATAGTTCACTAATCTCCTCTCTGTGCCCCCAAACAACACAACAGGAGTCTTGGGAGTATGGGATCCAGCCTAGGAGCCTGTCCCCTGGACCCCTAAGGTCAATTCCTAACTGTGCCAGGAAGAAGCATGCTGGTCCTGAGTTGCCCATGGAGTGCTCAAGCAGGCTTAATGCCCCTCCACTTTGGAGTAAGTCCTGCACAAAGGAGTGCCAGCGGGCACCGAGTACATAGTGTGAGCACTCCTAGGTCCACTGCAGGTCCTTAAGAGGAAGGGTGTGAGCCTACTCTCTATGGAAACCTCAGTATGGTGGGTGTAACAACAGCTGCTGTGAGCATCTCACCTCACTTGTCCCTCTTGGCAGCAGTGGGTGGGGTGGTGTGTGGGAGAAAAAGAGTCTGAATGGAAGAAAGCCGGCACTCCAGCCCTCCTTATCCCTCTCCTTGGAAGATAGCCTGCAGCTTCCTAGCTGTGGGATTACACAGATTCTCCAGGGCCCTCCGCAGTCTAGGCAGGAGTTGGGACCTACTTGTGTGGGAACAGGTGACATGAAACCTGAAGGGCTGGAGCTCCCTGGGGTAAACAAAGGCACACTATGGGTGAAGAAGTAGTATAGCATTTGCCATGTTGGCTCTGGTCTGTGATGATGGGGAGTGGCCCCAAAGGGGCTGGCAGCCTGATGCTTTATTTTCAAGAAGCTCTCAGTTGAGTGGTGGCAGCTGCTTTGGGGCTAATGTGAGTAGAAAAGCTCTCCAGCAGCTGAGGAGCCCAGTGACAACAAGAGCTGTGAGGGAAGAAGAAACAAAATCCCTGCCTACCCTCACCACCAGGCTCCAGGCTTCTCTGGGATTGATCTCTGCCAATATCTTGTTTCTTTCTGTTCTGCTCTGCTACTTCTTCCTGTGGAATCTCCAGCAGGCCCTGGCAACCTTTCTCCCCAAACTATACCTGAGCTGTGTTTTGTTCCCCTTTCTCCTTTATATGAAACCTTTCCTTCCCTCTGGGATGATATGGTGACCGATGTCTCTAGTCAGCCATCCTCCCTCTCCACCTCCAACCTAAGGTCTTCTTTTAACACAAGCTAAGGGCTGTCTCTTTGAGCCATCTGTTTATTTGCCAGTTGCTGATTCAAAAGGGAAGTGTCTGCTTTGCCAGACACAGGCATGGGTTAAGATCAGGGTTAAGACACAGCCACAGGCTGTATAAGAAGCAGATGGGACGAGAGACCAACCTCATTAACAGCATACTTGGACTTTCTGCTTACCATCTTTCTTCTGTGCACATGGCAGAAGCCAGGCTAACTGAGGCTGCCACACATGCTGCCAGTTAACCCCAAAGCCTCTCAGAAGTCAAGACTTTGAGGTTCTCAGTGTATGTAAAAACGAAGAAATACCTAAACAAGGTTATAAAAATTTTGGTACATTTTTAATATTCACATTTAACAAATTGGTGCTTTTAAAGCACACATGTACACATACATTAAAGATTACAGGATTTATGAAACTGTTAAATCATAGTGCCCTATGGTTGCTGTGGTCCAGATAATGGAACACAAGTTTAAAGTGGTCTGATGGTGTTGTCTTCTTTCGCTCCTCTGAGTGTAACTCCAGACAAAATATTCATGTCTACACTTGAGACCCTCCATGACTGGGAAGCCCTTCCCAGATGGTCCCCCCTTAGTTTCCCTGTGAACAGTTTACCTCTCCCAAATGTCTATAATTGGAGATCTTTCCTTAACCATAAGCCTAGCACACCACCTGCTCCAACATACCAAGATATTATAAAGGAGGCAAAAAGACAATTTGCAAGGAACCTAAAGGATTTTAGGATGTAAGTTGATGCCATACTATTACTAAATATAAAATCATACTTTTTTAGAGCTGGAAGTGATCAGAGAAATCATCTAAACTAAGCTCCTTATTTTATTGATGAGGAGAGTCATTTCTGAGCATCTTACAGACTCATAACTTCCCTTCAGGTAAGTGTCAGGGATGTATGTTGTAAACATGGAGCAATGGCAAGTGTCAGGGACTGAAGAAAGGAAGTAAGCTTGGCTGTGGTGTGGGTTGGGGGGTACACCCCAACATGGAGAAGCTCCGTGGAAATAGGGATTGGAGTCTGATTCATTTATAAAGATGAGCCCTGGAAGATGAGCAAAAAAGCTGTCTGAAGTAGAAGGCGCTCCCTAGAGCTGAGAGGCAGCTGGGGCGGTGTTGAGGGAAGCAAGATAGGAAGGTCTTTTCTGGAATGTTTTCCTGGGGAACATATTCAGGTTTTTGTGCTTATCTAAATGATTCCTTGTGGCCAGTCACGATATTCTCATGTGCTAGGAAGCTAGGAATTTTTACAAGAACATATTGGTAGGGTCCAATATTCTCCCCATGATATGAAGGTTTCTGCCTAGAGTTTTTATTGCCTTAAGGGGAAGAAAGGATGAGCATCAGGGCGCCTGATGATGCTGTTAAAAGAGCACATTAAAGGGAGGTAAATGGAGGAGAGGCCAGCTATGACATATCCAGGAGAAGATAAAAGAAAGTGTGAGCCCCTACTTTCCATGGGTTCCCATTCCCCTCCCATCCATCCGCCTCTTGGATTTCCTACCTCAGCGGGAAGAACAGGGATGGCCGCATTGCTAAAGGACCCCTGTGGTAGCCGAAAGTGGAGTCCAGGCTGTACTCAGGTGTTGTGGGGGATGCCTTTGGCACATGTTTATAAGAGGGAATGTGCTGGGTGATTCCTCACACTGCATAGTGCATAGGGAGGGAATGGATTGGTTTGTAAAAGACTTCTCTACTAACATGTAAATGTCAGTAAATTGTTGATTTATTCTTTCCCAATTAGGAATGTTTGCTTTATTTTAAAATCTAACTCCAAACTATGATTTTATAGAGAAAAGCACAGAATTAATGAAGAATTAAAACACCTAAAACAGCAGCAAGAAAGAATCAGCAAGGAGATTGATAGGTTTGTTTCTTATTCAACTTTGTAGTGCTTAAGATCATTTTTAATCAAACAAATGTGTTACATAAAACCAGAGTGGGTTTCTTATATAAACATACATCAACTGGAATTATCTGCAGAGAGGGTTTTCTACTTAACAGTTCATCTGGAGTAACACTTTCTTTATCCACAATATCACCTACCCTGCTAACTTAATTAATTGCCAAATATTATCATCTGCTTTACTCCTCCAGCCATAGGACCTAAGCTCAAGCCCTTTTAAAACTAAACTCATAAGCGTGCCCTGTGCTAGGGAAGATGTAAACTAGAAAAACAATCAGCTTAGCTGGTCTCTCTTGGGCTAGTTTCTGGTTCTCCTTCTGCCCCTGCCATTTCCCCTCCACATACAAACATCTTTCCCCAATGAAGCAAGGAAAACTGGCTCATTCAATTTGTTTATTTTATAATTGGAATATAAAAAGGAAAAGTGTAAAGGACTGAGACCAACCCACTTCTTCCAACACACTCAGATGCACACGCACAAGAATAAGTATCAGACAAGTCCAGCCCTTCCGACAAGCCCCCTTGGGAGACTGTAACTTTGTGCTAGGCATACTGCCATACTTCTAAATACTATTTTAGAGCTTACAAAGCTAGTTTCCCAGTCACATGAGAAAACCAAACCCATTACTTTAGGATCTTATCTCTCTCTTTTCACCAAAAATCTTATCACCCAGCTTTCTCCTTCATAACACCTAAGTTATAAGATCTGATACCAGATAACTCTTCCAAGTTTCCAAACATAAAATCCACAGAGGACAGGATTTCTCACCACTGAGGATATGCAGAAGGATGTAGGACAATTCTCACAGTAATCACAAGAAGCATTCAAACATGTTTTATATAATGGCACACTGTTGGGGGAAAAAACTTATTTGGATATATAAATCCCATGCACCTATTAAGTTTATAGGCATGATGTATAAGCTTCCATCTGTAATCTTCAAAGAGAATTCATGTGAGGAAACGCAATCAGAAAGGGGGAATTAGATAGTGATGATACAAAACTTTGTGCATATAATACTAAAACCACTGAATTATATACCTTAAAGAGTGAATTTTATGGTATGAAACTTATATCTCAATAAAACTGTTACTTGTATTAAAAAGAGGAAGGACTATAAACTAAAAGATTGAGTTGAAAGATAAGTTGATTTTAATAAAGTGAGATGATTCTGAGCATAACATACAACTCAAGGAGATGGATTCTAGGACGGTGTCATTGAGAAAGGCACCAGGGATATTTGGAGTGTGCTTAAGTGGGGTTATGAACTGAGAGAGCCCAGATTTGGGACAAGCTTGGAAGGACAAATGTGAGACCCCCAAGGGTAGTAAGAAGCGAGGAGAAAACCCAGGGTGAGGAAATAAAATCGGCAGACATAGAGAATGAGTGAAGGGCCGTGTGTCAGTCGCCGAGCGCTAATGCAAGAGACCTCTAGCTTGGGTAGCCCTACTCTGCCTTCAGGGATGCCCTAAAGTCTGGAGAAACCTATAATAGGCCTTGCATGGGGTTAGCTAATCAAACTTTCTGCTTCAGCAAGGTGTATATGGAATTTTCAGGAAATTGTACTTTGTACCAATCTCATGGGAAAATAATTTTTAAATATTTCTCTTGAAAATTGCCAGTGAAATTAATAGCCTTACCCTTTTCATTTTTCTTTCTCTTATCTATATTTTTATCTATGTTTCTCTTGCTAACTTTCCTCTCCGAGTTCCTACCCTTCCTTGCCTACCCTACCCCTGCCTCTTTCCTCACCCTTAGATCTCTGGAAAGGTTCCTGCTGCCTCCCAAATTCAACCATTCAGCCCCTTCACAAATATTTCTTGAATGAATACTTCATGACAGAAACCACGATAGATTCCTGGATCCCTGCCCCCAGTGAGCTTACAGTCTAGTAAGCACCCTCACCCACTGGCCTTTTCTGTCTCCCTCTTCTTCTTTATCATCTTTTCTTTATCAGTATCCTTTACTCTTCTCTCCCCACTGTCGCTCCTTAAAGTCCATACTAGAGCCTGGCGAGCAGAATCGGTTAAGGTTAGGCTGTGTGAGCCATCTAGCTGAAGAGGATGGCCCACTGCTGGAATGAGTGTCACACAGTTGGAACTAAGGACTCCAGTCATAGTGCCTGGGTTCAAATCATCTACTTTCTAGCTGTATGAATGTTGGGAGGGGGTATCTTAACCTATCTGAGCCTGTTTCCTCATTTATAAAATAGAATAAGAGTGTTACTACTTCTTAAGATTGTCTCAAGGGTAACTGAATTAATATAAGTAAAGTTCTTGGCAAATGCCCAGCATATTAAGTTCTTCATAGATGCTGGCTATTAGATGGTGTCAGTATAAAGATAATTAGTTTGGTTACCAATTTTCTTTGTTCCATTGATTAGGCTCCAAGCAAAGGCTATCAGGAAACCTTATGAGATTCAACATGACTTTGAGAATTTTCTACATAAACTGGTATGTTTTCTTTCCGAAAATAATTGAAAATTCTCCCTCTAGCTTCTCTTATATAATCCTGGACAATATTTCATAAGCAACGTATGGTGTCACACCCAAGTTACAGTAGCAGAATACATTCTTGTTATTTAACCATCCACATGCACATTTAAGATAATCTCTGTTTTACATAGTTAGTGATAATCTCATGCCCACTTTTTCCATTCCTCGCTTCTGAGAAGGGACAGTTTATGCAACTGAAAAACTCCGAATGCAGTTAGAATTACAAACTAATAGAAAATTATTGGTGTCTGAACTTGTATTTTATTTTTCATTAATAATTCAATAAAAGCATGCTGGGTACCAGTGGCTGTGTTAGGTAAGTGGTCCCTACCCTAAATTCCTGGAACACAAGGCAGAATATAATAAGGTTCTAAACAGGACTCAAGTATGAGAAAAAATATAAAAGAAAGGACATTATTCCATCTTTCTGGGTTTACCTATCCCCTCTTCTTCTGTCCCTCCTTACCTGTGGACAGTCCTATTAAGTCTGAAGGGCCTGTTCCCTTCCAGCAGACAAGAACATGTACAGACTAGAATATACTAAATCTGAAGGATGGGCAATCCGAGTTCAGGAATATAAAAGAACTTTTTATTTTCCACATGTCAGGCATCCACTCAAAAATCGAGCAATCAAAAAAAAAAAATCGAGCAATTCCATTGGCTACTGGTATAATGTCAAAGATGAGTCAAATCAAATTCCTACATAAGCCAAAAAGGTGACAATAGTGAAACACCTGGGTGTTGTATATTAAAGAAATAGGACTATTCTTTACTGCCACAAAAAATATTCTTTCTTCCATTTTTCTTGGTCTTTTTCTATCTTTCTTACTCTTGATAGAGACATGGACACAGAGAAATACTTATTTACTATAAGAAAACAACAGTGCAAGTGTGCTTACAAAAGAGCAAGTGACCCGACTGGCGCTTGGTAAATGGTCTGAGTATCAGGGAAACTACAAGGAGTTGTGGACACAGTAGCAGACTGGAAAGCGGTGCCTCATCTAGCAAGGCAGCTACTGTCTCACCTCTAGTTCACTGCTGCTCTGCAGGAATATAGGTGAAAGTGTTATCAGATATTCCACCACATTATTCTGTAAAATCTCCTCATTTGGACACCAAGTGTTTAAACATTTTGTGGGCCAAACTAAATACAATTGGCATACCAGATGTAGCCCATGGGCTACTGATTTGCAACCCCTTGTTTGAATGCTTTCTGGATTTGGATCTCTTTCAAAAGCTGGCTACAGCCAGTGTAGCCAATCTTATTCTTTGCTACATACCAAAGCAAACCCTTTACTCCCATTGAATCCTCTGTGTACACCATGTTTGTCTAACACCCATAGGTATTGCTCATCTGCAATACGTATTTCCCAGATTTCAAATTCTGCTCATTTTGGGCCATACTCAACGTCCATTTTCTGCAGGATGCTTTTTTCCAGTGGCCCCAGTCCTATCCTTTCCAGGTGCGTTTAGTATCTCTCCTAATTTCTAGACCACTACTTCGTGATGGTAGGATTGAAACATGGTTCTTTTTTTTTTCAAGCCAGAAATCAAAACATAGAATAGATAACTGGCTTAGAATGACATGTGTGTCACCCAAAGAAGAGTGCACACTGGGAATTTTTACTCACCTATTCCAAAGAAGGAATCACATGGTAAAAAATTTAAATGTAATAGCAAAGCAAGGACAAATGCCATTTTTCTTTTACAGTGGTCCAGCTATCTTTAAAGAATTATGTACCAACCACAAATCCTTTGTGGAAAATGGCAAGGTATTAAAAAACAAAGGATTATAAATTTAAATAAATTTCAAGTTTGAATTATTGGGTTTAAAGGACTCAGAATTCTTTCAAGCGATTGGACTTAGGCTTCCTCAAATGTTTACCTTTCTTGCTAAAATGGAAATGCACGAGCAATTTATAATAAAACTGAATATTGGCTTTCCTAGTACTTTATGTATGACTGTTGTCCTTTAAGAAAAATTACAACCAGCACTGCCTAGGCATCTCTGAAACTGAGATTCTAGATGAAGATGCCCAATCTTTGAGTTGCACATTAATGAGCTAAAACAATAACAGAAAATTTGTGATTATTTTCTAGATAATTCATGCCATAAAACCACTGTTATCTCAATTATCTGAGTATTTTAGCAAAATGCTTTTTGGGTCTAAATCATCATATGATTCAGGAAGGGCTTCACATAGTCTATGAGAGGAAACCATTCATGGCCAAACATTTCTGCCCACTCTTGATAAACACGCATAGCACTACTACCAATCCTAGAATCCATTATAAGTCTTTTCATACTCACTCTCACCCATACATCTGCACACCTGCCCTACACCAGTCCACATACACAAATAAGCCTTGTTAGATACACAAACAAAAGGATATAAGGCATGAGTGGGATTTCCCAGAAGTAAGCATGCCTCTTGGATTGAAGAGGCATTTGAGAAAAGGTGGTAGAGTAGGAAGTAAGTAATTGAATTCGAAGTAATTCGATTCCATGAATGAATCGAATCATCTGAATTACCATCTAGGTAATTCTCTAGTTCAACGTAAATAGAGACACGTTAACGTGTCTTTCATCTAAATTTTACTAATTAGTGATGGAGATAGATCAGGGCCAAAAGAATTGAAAGTGGTTATGTGATATCACATGGTTTTTAAAAATGTTTAAATGAGTCTGAAATTTTCTTCCTAAATCCCTCTTTTGCCAAAAAAAAAAAAAGTGATCCATACCATCTTAATAATTGGGTGAATGTCACAGTCAAGTATATGATGCCCAAGAAAATCTTTGAGTTTTAATCGTGTATTATTTTCATAGCGTTCTGAAACTCCAACTGAGAGAGAACTGGCATCACTGTCGTCAACATCATCAGCAGCGTCATCAATAGGAGACTACACCTATGAGGAAGAAGAATGCTAAGAGAAACCAGAAATGAACTCTATTGAAGAATAATCCATACAATTCAGTTGTGTCAGTTTAATTGTAGCAGTATGTTTAATTCAAGTCCAATCCATGAAGTCAGTATTGAAGTATTGAAGTCAGTGTTTTACCATTCATCTTTAAAATCTTCAAATCAATAAATCTCAGTAAATTATTCTTAAAGGACCTGCCCAACCACAATCTTGTCTTATAATAGTACAAACATATTTTAAGATGGAAAAAAATCATTATAAAGCCTAGAGAGCTTTCAATCATTTCTTTGGAAATACATCTTGATAATAGCAACTGTTCATCATAATACAAAACAGAAAGAGGATTAATTTACTGTGGCATGGGAAGTCCTGCCAGTTCCTAAATGCCCCGAATAGTTTCTCTGAGATGTTTTATATCGTTTAGGCCTCGAGGAAAACCAAAGCCCCACCCCCAGGTTTAGTAGCAAACAAACTCTGTTTCTCCGGTGCTAAGCTTCGATCACTCCTCTGGTAGTAAGATTCACGCACATTTGCTAGGAAGCTGGGCAGCTTGTCAGCAGGTACTATTGATACTGTGCAGCCTCCCCATCCTGCTCCAGTGAGTCGTGAACCTTGAGCTCCAAACTTCCTAAAATAATGAGGGGGGAAAAATTAGAACTTATAAATGAAAATAAGAGTGATTTGCTTGGTGTTTATAGAACACAAAGTTTTAAGAAGAGAATACATGAGGGTTTTCTGGCTCTTTTCAAACAATTTAGGACATTAAACAATGTATACTATTCCAGAAGGTGATTTGGAAATTTTTAGTTGTATCTAAAGCTACTCCCTGGTTTTGGCTGCAAGCAGTAAAAGTCAGCAGTGTGTTCATTTCATGAGGACCAGTATAACCCACTGAAGTTTTGATTCCATAAAGTAGCCACTTGAAGAGTTATGTAGCAATCCTACAAGTAAATCAGGAAGAGAGAGTAAAAATAAACCAGGCAATAATAAAAAAAAGTTCAGGAAAACCTGAATCAGAAGGTCACTCCAAATGAGGAGACAAATCAAAATTTAAAGTGCATAGTCTTATATAAGTAGAGGTTTCCTCCAGTGGCTATTTCAACCAACTTCTTAAGGCTTCGCTATTTCACACAGAAAAATCAATCCCTATAACAGATAACCTAGGTTTGTGCTCAATAAATATACCAACAAAGAACTTGTTATTAAACACTGGGTTGACTGGTTTGTTTAGTCCCTATGGGAAATTATGAAAACTTTTCCACAGAGAGAATGGTGGTCCCTATTCCTACAGATCCATACCTGTGCCTTCTGGAGCTGCTCTAACTATTGGACTCAGAATTTGCCATCACATGAAATGTGCCTGATTTGGATGGAAACGACTATATAAGTGATCGCAGAGCAAAAGGTAATTTTAGTCACTAAGTCACCATCAACTAAGCACAGTTTCAAACCTAAGATTTGAACCAAAGTTAAAAGCTCTACACAAAATACAAGGATCACTCACCTTTAAAAGATGCAATTTATCCTGACAAAAAAAGTTAACATGTATTTCTTCCAATTAATTCTTAATAAAATTTATTCTAAATTAGTAGCAGAATAAAGCCCCCATAATTAATTTAGCATGATTTTGTCTCTTTTTTTCCATCTAAATGAGCTACTTTACTTCTGGACAATATCAGTAGACTATTAATCCTTAGGACATCAGAATTATTGCACACCAGTAATTCATTTTCCCCTCAATGATTTTTCTCAATTGATTTCTTTTTATTGTCTTAGTCTTTAAGATATGCTTCTCAAGATCTCTAGACAGAAAACTACAAAATAATGATGAAAGTAATCATAGATGACTCAAACAAATGGAAAAACATCCCATGCTCATGGGTTGGAATATTGTGAAAATTACCATACTGCCCAAAGCAATCTACAGATTCAATGCAATTCCTATCAAAATACCAATGTCATCTTTCACAGTATTAGTAAAAAATCCTAAAATTCATATTGAACCAAAAAAGAGCCCCAACAGTCAAAGCAATCCTAAGCAAAAAGAACAAAGCTGGAGGCATCACATTATCAGACTTCACATTATACTACAAGGCTATGGCAACACAAAGAGTATAGTACTGGTATAAAAATAGATACATATCTTAATATTTTAAAATAAATAAATAAATAAAAATAGATACATAGATCAATGGAACAGAATAGAGAACCCAGAAGTAAAGCTATATACCTATAAAACCATCTGATCTTTGACAAAGTATATAAAAACATACACTAGGGAAATGATACCCTATTGAATACATGGTGCTGGGGAAATTGGATAGTCATATGCAGAAGAATAAAACTGGATACCCATCTCTCACTATATACAAAAATTAACTCAGGATGGATTAAGGACTTAAATGGTAATACCTGAAACTATAAAAATTCTAGGAGATGATCCAATGCATTGGCTCATGTCTATAATTTTAGCACTTTGGGAGGCCAATGAAGGAGGATTGCTTGAGGCCAGGAGGAGTTCAAGACCAGCTGAACAAGAGCAAGACCCTGTCTCTACAAAAAATAGAAATATTAGCCTGGGTGCAGTGACTCACTCCTGTAATCCTAGCACTCTGAGAGGCCAAGGTGGGAGGATCATTTGAGCTCAGGAGGTCTAGACCAGCCTGAGCAAGAGCGAGACCCCGTCTCTACTAAAAATAGAAAAATTAGCTGGACAACTAAAAATATATAGAAAGAATTATCCAGGCATGGTGGCGCATGCCTGTAGTCCCAGCTACTCGGAAGACTGAGGCAGGAGGATCACTTAAGCCCAGGAGTTTAAGGTTGCTGTGAGCTAGGCTCACGCCACGACACTCTACTAGCCTGGGCAACAGAGCAAGACTCTGTACAAAAAAAAAAAAAAATAGAAAAATTATCTGGATGTGATGGTGTGTGCCTGTAGTCCTAGCTACTCATGAGGCTGAGGCAGAAGTATCACCTGAGCCCAGGAGTTTGAGGTTTCAGTGAGCTATGATGATGCTACTATACTCTAGCTCAGTGAATAGAATGAGCCTCTATCACAACAAAAGAAGAAGAAAAGAAGAAGAGGAGGAGGAGGAAACAAAGAAAATTCTAGAAGAAAACCTAACTCTTCTGGACATTGGCCTAGGCAAAGAATTTAAGACTAAGATCCCAAAAGCAAATGCAACAAAAACAAAAATAAATAAGTGGACTTAATTAAACTAAAAAGCTTCTGCATCACAAAAAAATAAAAAAAATAAAAATAAACAGGGTAAATAGCCTACCAAATGGGAGAGAATATTCACAAACTATGTGTTCAACAAAGGACCAGTATCCAGAATCTACAAGGAATTTGACAACTGAACAAGAAAAAAACAAATAATCCTATTAAAAAGTGGGCAAAGGACATGAACATTTTTCAAAAGAAGACATACAAATGGCCAACAAACACATGAAAAAAATGCCTCAAAAAAAAATTCTCATTGTAGAAGATGCTGGGAAAAACTGAGGTATCACTGAAGTATCTCTGAAAGACCCTAAAATCTGGGCATCAAAGCCAACCACAGCATGGTCTAGAGAATAACATGCTCTCTTACTTGATTTTCTAAGACCCAAATATGACATTTTGCTGGACTTAACGTTACTAGGTCTTAATGGTCTTCAATGGACTTCTAAGCATATTTAATTATACTTTCTCATTTGAACAGTTTTTGATAGCTGTTGTTTACAAAATTAAACCTAAAGCAAACTGAGAGTATTGTTTCTAATTTGGCTGTAAAAACCATAGGACTTGTGCCAGAGGGCCTATTTCCTGAGACTCCTGCCAGTTTCCAGAGAGCAGAAGCTAGAAGTCTTTCTAGGTAGATACATTCACTTCTGAGACTCCAGAGCTTCTCTGTCACCACCTTGTCTGTCTGCTACAGATGAAAATGGACTGCATTGCATCAACCACATGGTCTGAAATCATCAGGGCTCAAATTTCCCAAATAGAGAATGATAAGTGCTATTATAAATAGCCTTCTGCCCCTGAGTCAGTGGCACTTATGATTATAAATCAGGGGCTGCCCCGGCAGCTGGTCAGCAGCCTGCCAGCTATACACACAAAGTGGGTTCCCACTGGTGCTTAATTTGCCTTTGTCATATGCCATAGAAATTCTGAGAGGTCTAAAAGTTAGGACACTAACATAAGCTTCAAATTAACAAAAAAAAAGTAGGTGAGCTAAAGTTGTTTAGTGAACTTTTCACATTTGCATTTTTTTCTGAAAGAACAGTTAGGCATTAAAAATATATCTCCCGAGCTATTGCACAGAGAGACAATACAAGAGTTACAAAAACTAAAACCCTGAAATCCCCTAAAGTCCACTTTGATTACTGTGCTAACTACATTGAGAATAACGTAGAAGATTTCATCATAGCCACAAAAGCAGCCTCTGCTTTATAAAGCATGATCTATAAAATAAGGCTAAGGCAAATGAGAGATGGAGATCATAAGGAATATTCCCTTAGATCCCTTTATCACTAAAATGTGCAGTCACATAATTAACTATTCAGGCACCAAATATAGCCTAACTAAAATTTCCTACTTTTAAATGAACTGATCTGACCTTAAGCACTTACTAAGCTGCAAGACACAGAGCAATAGAAAGGTAGGGGAGGAGATCCAAAGAGACCCAACTGCACTATAAACTAGAAAGATGGAAAGTAAGGAATTATGCCTTGTATTTCAATTCAGTTTCATTTATTTCAAAATAAGTAAATATTTATATATTATATAAATGGATATTAAATAAATCATTTCAGGATATGTTGATTTTAGGAATAGGTCATATCCATCTCTCTAACCCCAACCCAGCACAATTGCAGGCATTTGATAGGTTTTAATAAATCACTGCTGTACGATTACATTTGTTTTAAAATATAAAAATAGCCGGGAGTGGTGACTCCCGGCTGTAATCCTAGCACTCTGAGAGACCGAGGCGGGTGGCTCGTTTGAGCTCAGGAGTTCGAGACCAGCCTGAGCAAGAGCGAGACCCCGTCTCTACTCAAAAAATAGATAGAAATTAGCTGGACAACTAAAAGTATATATAGAAGAAATTA